CCCCAAAACCCCAAAACCCCAAAACCCCAAAACCCCGAAAAGATCTAAGAAAATTGAGTTAACTTATAAAGGAAATATAAATCTTCATGTTCCTTTTAAGAATATGCTCAATTGAGCCTAAGAACTTCTTAAAGTCTAGTCTATTCAGTTTGAGTCACTTACAACTTCCTGTAGCAATAATATTAGCAGCTCTCGGAGTGTTCTTGATCAGAGCTCTTTCACCGAAGTAGTCACCAGATGTATATTCTTTTACCTTTTGGTCTTCTTCGTAGCTTTCATGTGACTTAGTAGCTACAGCATCTCCTTTAAGTAAAATATAAAAGTCTTCACCAGTATCTCCCTCTCTTATAATATAGTCACCGTCATTGTAAGTCTCGTAATCGCAGACATCAAGGATTCTTGACTTCTCGTACTTGTCCAGAGTCTTCAGAATAGGAACGTTTCCGAGCATCTTTAAATATCTCTCGTTCCTTTCAATAGTATTTCCAGAAATTATGTGATTAAAAGTTTGTCTGTCTAGACTAAATGCCTTACAAGTTTCACAGCTGTAAACAGTGGCAGTCCGGTCACAGTTGTATATAAGAGCAAGTTCTCCAAACATCTCACCTTCATTGTAGACCTTAAGTAACTTCTCACTTCCGTCATAATTTTCTTTGATGCAGTTGAAGGAACCATTGTCAACAATGTAGAGTTTATTTCCTTTGTCTCCTTCCTTGACGACAGTATCTCCAGCAGTGAAGACCTCTTCCTGCATAGCATCAACTAGGGTGTCCATGTCTTCAGCTTCTAAGCATTTGAACATCCAGTGGGATGAAAGTCTAGCTCTTAATCTTTCACATGTATCTTCAGGCTTCGGATTTGAGACAGGCTTAAAAGATGATCTTTTGTTGTACTCTCCATAGACTTCAGCAGAGACAGAGATTCTGCTGGTCTCTGACTCGATCTCTCTTAGAGCTTCCTCCACTGTCTTCTTCACTGGCTTAGGTAGTAGGAAGTTCTCATCAACGATAACGTCATCATCATCTGAACTAGTTTCTGAAGAGTCAGAATCCTCTTCCTATCCAAAAGTGTTAAAGAGTGGCAAATTTATGAATCTTTTTGAAAACTAGTAAAACTTACCATTTGAAGCTCATCAAACTGATCGAAGTGGTCTTTCAAAGCAGGTATATTCTTAGAACTCCCTTCTAAAAGGTGGGATTCTAGCTCAGGTACCTTCTTTCTTAAATACTCTAGTTCAAGTCTTTGGTTCTCATTTTCTAAAGTTAGAGAGTAACTTACTTGTTAGCTTATCTCCATAAGTCTCTCTCAGCCAGTTGAAGGTAAAGTTTCTCTAAAGGTAAATGAAGCAAGTACCAAGTCTTTAGGTTTATCATTCTTGAGCTGAAGGCCTAAAGGCATCAAAATATGATCGAGTTTTTCCATTATGTATTTCCTAGTCCTGCTTTCTTTGGAATCTGCAAAATTTTGAGTATTTTTATCCATAATAATTATAAATTTCAGCTAGGTCTTGCTTTTGAGGGGTTTTGGGGTTTTGGGGTTTTGGGGTTTTGGGGTTTTGGGGTTTTGGGG